TCCACCGTCCAGGGTAATAGTTTGTATATGTTGTTAACTAATAAATGTTACACACCAAAGTTACAGGTCCGGTCTCCCGGTCCCGTATCGTCGGGTATATTTTTTGGTTGTTATATATTATAAAAAAATATTGTGTTAACGCGTCCTCTTACGCTCGCTCTCACCCCGAAATCTCGAAAGATTGAGGGGGCAGTGTGAACGTTAGAGAAACGTTTTAACGTTTAGAAATGAACGGTACTACGGACTTCTTTTAATGATCCGCCTTTCGCGTTCGTATTCTAAAACCGCATCGGGGTTTAATTCATTTAATATAGCGCGTACCATTATCGGACCGGAACTAGTGGCGCGGATTCTTGCCAGGTCCTCGTTCCGTTTTATTTGTCCCGGTTCGCGCTCGTTCCTCAAAGTGATCACATCACACACACACCGCACGCACACACAAACTGTTTATACCTCGCGCGCGCGTCACAATCTCAACGCGTCGTATCTTATTATATTTTTATATAATATAACTCGATAGGGCGTTTAGAGAACGTGACACACACGTTCGGATAGAAGCAGTGGTGAACGCGTAGTGACGACGACACGACCACAGATCGGAACAATTTTTTTAATTGTTATTTGGATTATATATACATATAATGTATCATTATAATACATCATATATACGTTAATGATCCTTCCGCAGGTTCCCCTACGGAAACCTTGTTACGACTTTTACTTCCTCTAAATGATCAAGTTTGGTCAACTTCCCAACAACGCCGACGGCCGTGAAGCCACCGCGTGTCGGTCCGAAGACCTCACTAAATCATTCAATCGGTAGTAGCGACGGGCGGTGTGTACAAAGGGCAGGGACGTAATCAACGCGAGCTTATGACTCGCGCTTACTAGGAATTCCTCGTTTATGGGGGATAATTGCAAACCCCAATCCCCAGCACGAAGGAGTTTCAACGGGTTGCCCGGGCCTCTAGGCCAGGGAGAACATGCTGATTCCTTCAGTGTAGCGCGCGTGCGGCCCAGGACATCTAAGGGCATCACAGACCTGTTATTGCTCAATCTCGTGCGGCTCGAAGCCGCCGGTCCCTCTAAGAAGAATTTTAATACGTCGCCAGTGAGTTGCGCGACCGAAGCCACGCACACATAAATGACGACGCCTATTTAGCAGGCTAGAGTCTCGTTCGTTACCGGAATTAACCAGACAAATCGCTCCACCAACTAAGAACGGCCATGCACCACCACCCACCGAATCAAGAAAGAGCTGTTAATCTGTCAATCCTTCCGGTGTCCGGGCCTGGTGAGATTTCCCGTGTTGAGTCAAATTAAGCCGCAGGCTCCACTCCTGGTGGTGCCCTTCCGTCAATTCCTTTAAGTTTCAGCTTTGCAACCATACTCCCCCCGGAGTCCAAAATCTTTGGTTTCCCGGAAGCTGCCCGCCGAGCCATCGTAGTAACGTCGGCGGATCGCTAGATGACATATTTACGGTTAGAACTAGGGCGGTATCTAATCGCCTTCGAACCTCTAACTTTCGTTCTTGATTGATGAAAACACCTTTGGCAAATGCTTTCGCTGATGTTCGTCTTGCGACGATCCAAGAATTTCACCTCTAACGTCGCAATACGAATGCCCCCAGTTATCCCTATTAATCATTACCTCGGAGTTCTGAAAACCAACAAAATAGAACCGAGATCATATTCTATTATTCCATGCACGAAATATTCAAGCAGCATTTTGAGCCCGCTTTGAGCACTCTAATTTGTTCAAAGTAAAATTGTCGGCCCATCTCGACACTCACCGAAGAGCACCGCGATAGGATTTTGATATTGAACCGCCGTTTTACCGACGGCTCACCGACGATATGCTCCGCAGACGTGTCAGTATCACCGCGGATGCGGTGCACCAACAGCGCGGCGCACAAATGCAACTACGAGCTTTTTAACCGCAACAATTTTAGTATACGCTATTGGAGCTGGAGTTACCGCGGCTGCTGGCACCAGACTTGCCCTCCAATTGTTCCTCGTTAAAATATTTAAAGTGTACTCATTCCGATTACGAGGCCTCGTAAGAGTCCCGTATCGTTATTTTTCGTCACTACCTCCCCGTGCCGGGAGTGGGTAATTTGCGCGCCTGCTGCCTTCCTTGGATGTGGTAGCCGTTTCTCAGGCTCCCTCTCCGGAATCGAACCCTGATTCCCCGTTACCCGTGACAACCATGGTAGTCGCAGAAACTACCATCGAAAGTTGATAAGGCAGACATTTGAAAGATGCGTCGCCGGTGCTGGACCATGCGATCGGCAAAAGTTATCCAGATTCATCAAAATTAACGACTTCGGACGCGAGGCCCTCCGTCGATTGGTTTTGATCTAATAAAAGCACTCATCCCATCACTGGTCAGAGTTCTGATTGCATGTATTAGCTCTAGAATTACCACAGTTATCCAAGTAACCGAGGTAAGATCTAAGGAACCAAAACTGATATATTGAGCCATTCGCGGTATCGCCTTAATACGGCTTGCACTGAGACATGCATGGCTTAATCTTTGAGACAAGCATATAACTACTGGCAGGATCAACCAGGGAGCTGACAGAGAGAACTTGAGTCTCGTTGTCACTATACACTCCGAGACCACACGTGCAACGCGACGCGCAAGCGTTTTAACGCTAAAACGCACCGGTGCCGTATGAGAGAATATATGAATTCTTATTCAGTCTGGTCACGGGCGAGATCGGGTATCTCACGTCACTCGCACGTATTAACCCAGACCTACTGCGGACGACGTTCAAGTGCGCCCAATTCATAGAACGTTCAACAACGAGACAACTGTGTGAATACTTCACTATGTTAACAATCATTTAACACATTTGATATTATTTTCGTGAATAACACAAACGACATATATCGCCCGGTGTTAGAGAGATCATATCCATTTTTTAAAATAAAATACCGTCCCGCGAATACGATTATAAAAAACGCACCACGGCGACGAGCATAATTTAACGGACGTTAACGATGGACGCGAAGTCAACTCGCTCACCGAACGTGTACCGCGTTAATTAAACGAACGCTCAAATACGTCTTACCGCTTCAATAAACGGAGACGTCGTTCGACACAGTTCAACAACGACGATCATAATATATAAATATATAATATAATAAATATTATAAATAAATATCATATTTTATATTTATATTTATAATATATCAATCGCACAACACCACAAAACATCTAATCTAACAAAACACATGAGACTTGAAAATTTGTCGTATTGTGAGATTCGACTAGCACCGCTCGTGCTTCGTCTATACATATGTACGACTGCAGATATGCGTCTCCGGCGGTTCGTGTATTGAACGAATAGTTCGCTAAGACACGGAAAGTGTTCGCGTATACGCATAACATTATGACGAGCCGTCATCATAGGGTTACTTTAATACTTACCTGTCTCACGACGGATTATCATGATCATCACCCACACCAGGACCACCACCATCATCACGATCACCACCACCACCATCACCAACCACCGCCATCGTAATCATCATGATCGTCGTCGTCGTCGTCACCATCATCATCGTCAGCATCATCATCAGCATCATCATCATCAGCATCATCAACAGCAGCAGCAGCAGCAGCAGCAGCAGCAGCAGCAGCATCGTCGTCGTCGTCACGTCGTCACGTCGTCTTCATCGTCATCATCATCATAATCATCATCATCATCATCATCATCATCATCACATCAGATAGATCACCGTCCTGAGCTGTGCCACCTGCACATCGATCGACTGCTTACTTACTCACCACACACATCTCATCATGTCAGTTTATCACGAATAAATTCTTTAGATGTGCGTTCGCGTATAATAATTTTTTTCACAATGCATCTTCAAAGTCACTGAGCGTGTTCGCGTATAAACATAACATAATAAATATAATTGTATTTATTGTATCCTCTCACCTATTACCAGTGATGAACATAGTCATGTATCCATCAAACAAGGAATGATGTAACAAATAACGCGAAGTGTTCGCGTATCGACATAACATTTTTATAAGTAACCTTTTAAAGTAAACTCTTCTAATGATGTGTGGTACCTTTTTCCTTGTAACTGTTTTTATATATTATTTATTCTTGGTGAACATCTGATATTGTATACATACACTTTAATAGTTTACATTTCCATTATATCCGTGCAACAATATGTAAATTTAATGACCGTTTAAAATTTAAAATATAATTTTATTATTATTTTATTTTATAATCATATGTCAATTTGACAATTTATCAATTTATCACATAGATGATAGATTTACTTTTTTATAATAATATTATGTATACTTTATATAGAACCTGCGTGAAGCGAAAAATAAAAACATAAATACATCATATAATAACTACATTGTAAATTTTTCTTTTTTACGTAGGTACACTATACATATTTAACATAATATATTATCTTCATACAGAAAATCGATCACGGCGGCCGTAGGATATATGGATGGAGATATATAAGAATTATCAGGAAAAAGATAAATAATTATAAGTGTTAGTATTAATGTACAAAATAACATATTATTAATTCAACAATACACATTAAATAAATATACACACTAGAATTATTCCACTGATTCTTTCGCGTTTATGCTCGCCTAGTACTAATCTATATTATAATATTTTTTACGTCATTACACAATCAAATCGCGTTTATCGTTCATATCGTTCTTCTCATACATACATTTAGTATAAATATTAATTACCTACAGTATTGAGTACACACCACATTTTACTATTATCTATCGCCACTGATGAAACATAACACACCGTCAACCAAACAATGATACAAACACGTTACAAGGATCTCTCGTCATATCGGTAACTTTATTTATTTATAATATGTCGAATGTATTATAAAAATATATCGTATACTAAATATATAGGCCGTTGCCTTGTTCTATGACATACTGTACCAGTCAATCACAAGAATGATGATTGAACAAATAAAGTT